GGGCTGCCGGCGCGGTTCTCTGCCGCTGACCGCCGTACCCACCTCCTTGGCGCGGTGCCGTCACGGCAGCGGTTGCGCCGAGAAGTGGCCGTAACGCACCTCATCTGTCCCAGAAGCTGCAGCACGGCTGGAGTAGCACGAGCAGCAGGAACTGTGGTACCATGCAGCGCCTGGCACTGGTGATCTGTAGTCCAAAGAGTACAACACAGCATAAAAGAAGGAAAACTGACCAGTTATTTTCAGGAAATTGATGTACAGCAAAGAAAATCCCATGACTGCGTGCTTTTTCAGTGTATTTCTGTTCGAAATACACACTGTTGGAGTATTTCAGCGATAGGCCCTGCCCCCACTGACACACAACACGATGTAAATAAAACTGACCACAGGAGGCCGTACGTGTCGCTGGATTGCCAGTGATTATTAACTATTGCCAGCATTGCCAACTTACTACCAGTGGTACCACTCACCTGCATGTACCATTTACCATTTTTAAGCATGTTTTTTAATTTGTTTTTCAATATTATTGAACATTAACAGTCTGTTGGTACCAGAGAAGATGCATTTCCTCTCCCAACGGACAAAGAATGCACTGGTTACTCTCCTTGTCTGCTTTTCCCGCACTTTTAATTAAGTAATATAATCGAATTTAAAACAAACGAACTCACTCACTACCATGCAGCTGCGTTACAGAAGCTTGGTGGAGACTGGGTTGCTTAGAGATGCTCCTAGGTGTTCTTTTCCTCTTTTGTCCCACCACACACTGGTTATTTCTTGCGCTTCACTTGGTTTCTTGCATTTCCAGACAAAGCTTCCCCATTCTGGCCAATATTCGGAGACGCTGCCTCCCCGGCGTGAACGGACGATGGCACGGAGCGGTGGGCGTGGGGCTGGGAGCAGCCTTGTGCGCAGTCCCAGTCGTGGAGGTAACGTATCGGGAGTGAGATACACATGGCACCCGCTCGTTAGAAACAGCTGAATCTTCAAACCCCTTTACCAGCGAGTACTTACGCTGAGCCGCGCTCCTCCTTGGGGGTCGCAGGTGCTTAAGCCGTGTCGTTGTTAAGGAAGAGACACGAGAAAGACAATGTCTGCCTTATTTGTTACTGGAACATCCGGGTGAAAGTCAGTGTCAAGATCATGCAGATGTCTTGTCTTTCAGAAACAGAACTCCATTGCTCTCAGTAACGATGCCTTGATTAAAAGAGCAGTTTCCTTGGTAACAGACAGTACTTCTACACTCCTCTCTCAAACAACATACGCCTTGATCGAAGCACTGACAGAGTATACAAAGGTAAGCTGAGAGATGACACACTTTGCTAGCAAGTCAGTCCTGGAAATACTAACGTACTTGGCACTAACCACACCTGTTAAACCATACTTAAAATGGACGTTGGTTTTTTGTTGATTTCAGTGTAAGAGGTGTGGGAGTTTGGAGATGTCAAGTCCCCAGGAAACAGGGTTGGGCTCACTCTTCTGCTACACCAAACGCTGACGGTTTTAGCTTTGTTAGAGTGTTGCTTTGAGCTTGAACTTCAGCCGAAATGACCCATGTCTCAGAACTGGGGCTAAAGAAACTCGCAACAGCGTACTCGGAAGTGGGATATGCCACCCTGTATTCTCAGATACTTTATTTACCTTCTGTGCCCATTTCTAAGGCCGTGAACTTGGGTTCCATCAGACGAATGCAGTGAGCCATATTCAAGGCTGAAACAAGATACAGTTTCAGTTTCCTACCTAAGTGCCAGTTTGAGTAAAGTTACGTGCATTCCCGTTTACCTCCTTGTTGGTACGGCCAGTATATGAAGAGATGCAATCCACAGCGCTGCTGTAGGCAGACAGCAGGTGCTGCCAGTGCCTCCAAAGCTGCAGTGAACGTGAGAGCAAAGCACCTTAGGAACATTCAGCACCTTTGCTAATTAGCAGCAGTTGGCACTCGGAGAGCAGCAGGGATGTGCAGATGGTGACGGAACTGTGTGGAACTGTTCCTCTGCAGGCAGTTTATACGCTGGCGTCTCTCTACAAGCAATACGCAAATCTTCTTGGGAAGATGAACTCAGAAGAGGTGGATGCAGTCTGGCAGGTGGTAATAGGAGCCAGAGTTGATGTAAGCAATCACCTCCCTTCAGCCTGCCCCTTAAAACTCCGCTCCGGAAGTCCTTGTCTCCCCTGCTCGTGCTTCCCAAAGGCACTGTTTGGAAGAGCGCTCGGATGCGGTTACATCCAGTTAAGTAATGCTTTGCTTTACTCCTAGATGACAACAAAACAGCAGGAATACCTCAGGCTGGAATCCAGCTGGATGACAGCGTTACGTCTTTCAGAGATGGCAGCAGAAGCTGCGTATCAGTCGGGTAAGCACGCACAGAAGTACTGACAATTTCTTTCCCCTAGCTTTTAGGCAGTAGTCACTGAATGAGAACAGCGTTGAGACACACACAGATCCACTTAAAATACCGATTTACAACTAGTGCCTGTTTTTCAGAGATGCTGAGAACTTAGACCTGTAGCCAATAACAGAATCTAGCAGAGGCCTTCTGAGAACCAGCCCTGGAACCGCACGTGCGGTTTAGGTCAAGACCAACCATGCCAAGACAAGTTTGAGGGAAGTGTTGGGTCGTTTTTAAATGCAGTGTTCAAACACAGTTCTGGGAGCTGCAGGAATAAGGCTACCTAGGGGGTCCAGCAGGTCCTTCTAACTGGATGCACTTTTGTTGAAGTGAGTTATTTTATTAAATTTGCCTTTCGCTCAGGGAAGATACTAATTTGGGTCTTTTCTCCCTGTGTACACACTTTCACAAAATGTGTAGAGACTTGATAGCTGCAAGATTGAGGCTGACTTAAGGTAAATCAGCAGTTATTGGAGAGGAGAAGGGGATGAACGCAATGAACATACAGGGACACCCGAACTCTAAGTGCCTGAAAAGACACAGAATCCGTAGGAGCAGTTTTTTTTTTTCAGCAGTGCCACAGACAGTCCCGCTGCTGCTAAGTGCCAGGACAGGACGAGGACCGAAAGTTCCTGGCACCTGATGGCAGAGCTGCGTTCTCTGCCCACAAGCACAAGCCGATCGCTGCGCTCAGACACGGGCTGTCACCCACTCGCGTGGGAAGAATTCAGGGAGGGCAAAAAAATCTCAAAGTACCCATATTGTTTCAGGTAAATGCACAGTAAGTGCGTTTAGCATTAATATAGCCCAGGAGCCATTGAAACACTGTACAAAGCAGATGGTAATTACAGACAGTCGCTTCCTTAATCGAAGGCTTGCCGAGTGCTCCTCTAGCCCAACATGTTTAAATTATTACTTTTCAGGTGCAGACCAGGCCTCGGTGACAGCCCGCAGCCACATCCAGCTGGTGAAGTCACAGGTGCAAGAAGTGCGACAGCTGTCCCAGAAGGCAGAGACCAAGTTAGCTGAAGCTCAGACAGAAGAGCTCATAAAAGCTCAAGGAGAGGAATCTTCATTGCCACAGGGTATTTTAGGAAGTACAGAGACGGGTGAGGACCCTTACCTTCGGGAGGACTGAAAAAGAATTTGAAATGTCACCACAGAATACGTGACAGTCAGTCATGGATTGTAGGGTCCCCAACTTTTAAGTGTGGGATAGTAGGAGACTGCTGGATAAGCCTATGATTCCATTTTTTCCCCAGACAGGATTGCTTTACAAATCAGGTCAATTCCAAGTATTTGAAAGGCCTTGATCTTGTAAGTTACCGTGTTTGTAATACTTATGGATTCAATTATTTAAATATTTAACTATGCAAATGTGAAAGTTGCTCTCAAGGATAATTTGTTGTTGATTGTCTCTCTGCTGGGAGGGTCCTACTGCTCATCTGATATGTTTGTGAGAGCTCTCTTAAGTTGGAGGCTAACTGGGTATCAGCCAAAGAGTTGTATTTAAAAATCATTTTTCATCTGTGAAGTATGTTGTGTCTGTTAGGAGAAACCTTTATTAAACTGTGCAAAAGCATCTCGTTGCGAGCGTCCTCATTTGGGTAAGAGCTTAAGCGCTGTTCTGTTTGACCTTAAAAATTTGTAACTGTCTTTACACTTCAGTGCAGTCTGGGGAAATGTTTTCTGTACAGCTGAAAACTTTCTGTGGAGTTACCCAACTGCTGTACCGAAGTTCTGCAGTTCAGTACAGCAACCTCTTTCCCCTAAGAGCTGCCACTCGTAATGCATCTGCCTTCCCCCGGAAGCCAAGGGAGATTTGGTGTGCAAAATGTTGTGGTTATAGACAAAGTCATGGCAACTGCTGTGTGCTTTGTTAAAAGCAGCGAGCCAAAGTGAGTTTTACATGTTTGAATGCTTTCCAGCACACGTTTCAGGGAAGTAATTTTAAGGCTTCAAAACCACCCGAGACTTTCACTATGTTCATTTTCTAACTTGACAGCTTAATGTGAAATTAGTGATATTAACTGTACAGAGCATGTGAACTGGAGCTGAGATTGCTTTGTAGAATGGCATCCACTAAAACAACTCTGCCAATTTGACTCAGTTAATCCCCATTTATCAGACTTTTGTAAGAAAACACACATCAATCCTAAGTTTTTTCACCACAAATCAGCATCGGGTGAGCTACATCTGTGTCGAGGTTGCTGCTACTAAACTTGAGTTGTGCTTCACTAGGGATTTTTTCAGCTGTGGAATGAGCCTTTCTGTCTCTGCATTTGTTCCAAAGGCAGGCACAATGAGACAATCTCAGCTGCACAGCACTGCACATCTAGAGATTAAATAGTAACGGAATTAACAAACCGCTTTTCCTTGCTCCTGCTCCTCACTGGGTGCTGCTGTATCCACGGAGGGTGGCACGGTCCGCAGTTACAGCTCACAGGAAGATGCCAGTGTCTGGTCTGCCGTGCCAGTAGTCAGGAGGTGCCAAACCTGCTTTGGGCTGGAGCATTAGGAAAAAACTCACTATGCCAAGAGGATTGTTTACAGCAGTAACACATCCATGCCCTCAAGAGCCAAATGCAACTTCAGGTCAGCCTCTGACCACAACTGCTCTACTTCGTTACCTGCTGCAGTTCAAGAACGTCTGCCAAGCCCCAGACCCAAGTGCACACACAGGCTGTGTTCCTCTCAGGATGCCACAGCGACTACTCAGATGCTTGCACGGCGTAGGACAGATGGGCACTGCTAAAGGAGTCTGCAAGCAGCCCATTCTTCCCCTTTCAGAGCCAGCTCCCAGCCCATCTGTCGCCCCACTTCTTGTTTCACTGCACGCTCTGCTGGCGCTTCCCAACGCAGGGCTGTACTCACACACGTCCACCCTTCAGATGTGGCAGGAACTAACCAGTCAGTTCAGTCAAGTCAAAACAGGGGTGAGGAGCATGAGCGGCTCCGTATCGCCTCCAAAAGGGGGTGGGAAGAGCCTTACACCTTTAGTAGGAAGTGAGAGTTGCCCGTTGGGCGTTAGCCCACACACCTGAGCCCACAACAGACGCCATCATGCTCTAAGTTACGTTACTGAATCTGCATTTGGAATCATCCAGTGGGTCAGAAAAACGCTGCCCCAGCAGTTCGCAGGGTGCCACGGGACCCGCTCTGACCAGCCCCTTCTCTGGAACAAGCAGCAGTGCCAGAAACGAGGAAGTGCTGCTGATCCTCAGCCTCATTTACAAAGTCCGCACATCTGAAACCACGTTTAGACAGTTCTCAGGAACAGCCAATACAGCTGATCAATCCCTGCTCGGGCTGCAGGGAGGAGATGCAGCTTGCACAGGAGGATGGGCACACACGGGCTCATCCCCGGGCAGAGCAATTTTCTGACACAAACGCCTGCTCCCATCTGGCGCAGGAACAGCTCGCGTGAGAGCGGCAACTCCTGCCGCGAGAGTCCGGGTCACGCTGCAGGACTAAGTTAGAACTAGAGCTGGTGCTTTAGAAAGCCAAGGCAGCAAGGGACACGATCAAGCGTGGACCAGCAGTCCCTCGGCCTGTGGTCACACAGCACTGCACCACCACACTGAGGGCAGGGCAGCCGGCCCGCCCCGAGAGCCCATCACACGCCCGGGCTCGGCGTGCCCTCGCTCTCTGCCTAAGGAGCACAAGGACCTCCCGGACGCACTTCCCGGGCACCTCTGAAAGCTCCAGCTCACGTCTGGTGGCGGTGAACGCGGGGCAGCTGGCACGAGACAGCAGCACAGCACAAACTGCTCTGATTTCTGTCATCACACACCTCCTCTCTACCTGCTACCTTTTTGCTGCCTGCTGACAGAGGCTTCTGATCGAGCAGCAAGGCACCCTGAAGCTGATATAAGCTTGGTGAAAGCATCACCAAATCTTAGTTTCACATTTGAGCTTTCCTCAAATCAGCGACTTCAGTGCACTCACAGATTAATCGTTCTGTATCAAGACGTTGTCTGGATGGGGCAGAGAACGGCAGCTGCTCACAGCAGAGGAAGTGGCCAGTTGACACGGCCACATAACCTTACCCTCTCCTAATATCAGCAACTCTAATGCAAATGGCCAGCACTACATCCCAGCCTTCTCTGGCTCTTCGGAGACCGAAGGACACTCCTGTAAAAACACTTTTCAAAACTGTAATTTATTTATACCCAACATTGCAACAATGACAAAAACAACCCCAACACCTCCCACACAACGTGAAAAGCTGCAGTCACCGTAATTATTCAAGACACACCGCTCCTCTCAAACCCCAAAAGTGTTTGTGCAAAAGCTTCCAGTGCAAGCAAACCTGTGATAAACTTCTGTAAAATCCAAAGGGCTCGAGTCGGAGCCTGGTCCCTTGGATCATCATGCTGTGTTAAGGCAATACTTTTTTCCCCCCCCACTCTACTCCCTCTCTCCTGCTGTCCAGCAGGACCTGTGGGACTGCTGGCCCGCGGCAGCGGAGCGGAGCTGCAGTGAACCCAGCAGCACACACTAGCCTTTCTTCCACCCCTTCAAGTAATTTCAGGTGCTCTGTCACTCATTAGTCATCATGAACTTTCCTACACAAGGCTGCACGTGGCTGGTGGTCAGACAACAGCCTCAGTGTTGCAGAGCCTCCATAGCAGGTGGCCCCTCACTCACGTCCCTGTGGCACCTGTGACTTCCCCTGGCTCCAGTCCGGCTGGGAGGAAGCGACCCGAGTCCCCTGTGCCATGTCTCACCAAGCTGCTGGCCCCATCCCCTGACAATTCAACTGCTTCAGTGACCGACAGAAGACTTACTGCAAAACAAACCCCTATGGCTCAAGTACAGTCTGTTAGTTGAGGACACGTTTCTATCACAACCTGATTTCTAGTTTAAGTCCCCTGTCACTGTCACCAATCAAAATCCCCGTGTTCATCAGTAGCTTCTCTTCCAACCCCTTCTGTAGCTGTGCGTCACTGACACCGCACACTTAATGCCGTCATCCTTCACCAGCGTCCACATGATCCACATCTCGGTCGGGTTTAGTTTGTGCACAATCATCAACGCTTTGTACAAGCACGGATCAAAAGGATTGAAAGGTCTCTGGATCCCGAAAGTCTTAAAGCCAGCGTGCTTCACTGGGGTCACCGCCATCTCTGCCAGACACATTCCCACAAAGACATCATCTATCGGGAAGAGCTCCAAGCCCTCTGCGGTGCTTCGCAGGCGGCGCACTGTCTCTCTAGACATCACGTAGCCCCCTCCACCCGCATAGAGAGGATAGAAGGGGGCTCTGTACATGGACTCTGGAATAAAGTATTTGACCTTGGTGTTCCGGATGGGCCGGGCGTTGGTGATCACATCCCCAACAAAGAGATCCTGTTCAGGGTCCAGTTCTTGCAGGAACTCAACAATGTTGTAAGTGTTGACAAAGACATCGTCATCGCCCTTCAGCACAAACCTGGCGTGCAGGCAGTCCTCCATGAACCAGCGGAGGAAATGCAGCTCTTTGAGGGTCAAGTTGAAGAAGTTGTCAACAAAATCCCACTGCAAGATGTCATCAAACTCCTGGCTCTCGTAAGCCAGCAGCTGGTGCAGGGGCTGCACATGGATTTTGGCCTCCGAGCGCCCTAGAAGGAATACCAGCCTGATGCGCTTGCTGCCAATGGAGACCTCCTTCCCCCACGTGTTCCTGATTGCCACTCGCCGGTCTATGTTGATGGGGGAAGACTTGATTGCCAGCAGGAGGAATGTCTCTCTGCTACTCCTGGAAGGCTTCAGCAGGGCCGAGAAGTTCCAGCAGTGCTTGTACGTTAAGAAGACGCGGTGAAGCTCTGGGAGGGCGAGAGAAGAATTGGCGACGGCCAAGTCTGGCAAACACTTGCTGAGTTGGGCACTGCCTGGAATCAAAGACGTTGGTTTCTGACTCCCGACATCCCCTTTCCCGTCTGACGCCGCTGCCAGCTTTGCCTCTTTCCTCATGTAGAAGACGCAGGCCAGCAGCGTGGCTGAGATGGCGTAAAGAGCGAGGTTCTTAACCCTGGGGTACATGGCAACGGCGCTGCAGACCCCTG